CGGATTCGGGGAGATCTCGGCGAGCGCAGTCCGACCATGTTTTCAAAATATAAAAATAAAAAAAATTGACCCACTTTTGGGCCCAACCGGAGTTCCGGTTGGGACCGGTCCGGTCCAACCGGCCGGTTGCCAACACAGCCCGGATTGTCTCACATTTGAGTTTGGAACATAACAAAATCAGAGATATCAAGTTTCATCCACCAAACAGCCTGTGCTCTAGTTACTCTATCAGACCCGTGAATATGACACAATCTGCAGAAGCATAGAGCAGAGATGGCTGCCCATCATTACCCGGGTGACACCGAAGTCATCAAATGATGACTGGTCATTTGCCACTCTCAAAGGCATCAACAACCCGGTTGGGACTAAATCAGTGCACCAGTCATTTGCCACCATTGGCTAGGGCCGCATGGCCTTGCCGAAGGGCCAAGATGGTCCTCTGACAAGGCCATGCGGCCCTGGCCCAGAGTTGTTAAGGAGAAGCCTTCAGGTTTCTAAGAGTCAGAGGCAGTTTCAGTTAAGAGTAAAGAAAAGTGGTGGACAAGGGAGGAAGAAATGGAGTTGTGCCTATCGCAAAATTGTGTTTCGTAATGTAAGGTAATCAGGCATTGATGTTTATCTTCATCATTCATAATTAACGAGGCATTACATCCTGGAAAACTCCAGTGCTTATTTTCCATCGAGGGGGAGAGACAACCTTTGACTCGTATTGTACCTGTACTTGAATCACTGCCAAAAACCATACCTGTTGCGCATCGTGTGCACGTGAGTTCGGCACGTGCGGCGCATAGCGCACGTGATGCGGCGCACCCCAATAATAGGGTCAAAGAAAAATTCGGAAAGGGCTCGCTGAGATACCCAAATGTGCCCCTCCCTTCTAAAAATTTGAAGGGCACAAAAAAAAGAATTGGGGCCACGTATTCCTCAGTGAATGTAGTTTTTCTTCAAAGGACCCCCAGCAGAGATTCGGCAGGGGTCCCAACGTCTCAGAGACCTTCATCGAACTCTGGGTGAGAGAGGAGCAGGCCACAAATATATCTACTGGATTCTAATTCAGATCTGTGTTCCAGCAGTTATGGGTCTGGCTCTCTCACTTTTTACCGTAGCTCTCTCTTCTTTTGTTTTCCTTTTCCTACGACCAGTGGCCCTAAGGGTCTGGATTCTAATTCAGATCTGTGTTACAACAACTTTTTACCGTAGCTCTCTCTTCTTTTGTTTTCCTTTTCCTACGACCAGTGGCCCTAAGGGTCTGGCTCCACTTGTCACCACTTGCACAAGATATGGCGGCGTACCGTTCCATGTTCTAGCAGAAGATTCAATCTAGTTTTGCACATTTGGTGCCTAGTGGAGGGAAACCCTGAAAATCATGTGGGGAGTTCGCCTGCTACTGCCCAGAAAATCACGTGCTCAGTGGTCCCATAACTGCTCAATCACGACCTGCTACTGCCCAGAAACCACCAGTATCTACCGGCTGTCAAGGCCCATGGCTCAGGCTACCGGTAGCCCGGTCATTCCCGAGCCTCGGACAACCGGTAGTACACAATGGAAAAAAAAAAAAAAAAAAAAAAAAAAACGAAATCAGACATGCCCAACGAGAATGAATCTTCCTCGATAAAGAGGAAGATTCATTCTCGTGTGTGTGTGTGTGTATGTGTGAGAGAGAGAGAGAGAGAGAGAGAGAGAGAGAGAGCGAGAGCGAGAGCGTCAGCCAGTGTCTGACGCCGAGTTTAGAGAGAGAGAGAGAGAGAGAGAGAGAGAGAGGGCGTCAGCCAGTGTCTGC